ATTATATATTATATATTATATATTATATATTATATATTATATATTATTATACCTTAAAAATAATGTTTGTATACACGAATAATTAACAAAGTTATATGCCTTTTGATCGGCACTTTAGAGAATCAAGTCAAAGTCTTTGGACCGTAGACAATTATTTATTGTTAGGAGATTTGCAGACAGACGTTTACAAGGTTGTAATTTTAACGAAATGTAGGAATATACAGAGGAGGAAACATTCAGTTTTGTTGAAACATTCGAGTCGAGTAAACACAAAGTTGAGTTTGACAATGTATCATGGATCAACAACAACCCGAAATATGGATTCAAAATAAGAAATGAGAAAGGCTATTTGGGCTACATTTTATCAGAAGGTCGCTACTGATAAGAAACCACGACATATTAATGGTCCTACTGCAGCGACAAACTGGTGTTCCTATCGTCACGATATAAACAAAGGAAACACGGAGAATTACACTCATAATCCACTGATTTCAGGGAAAGTTCGAAATGTAATCAAACTCATATACAAAAGGTTATCTACAGAAGATTTATTAGAGTGTTGTGTGGATGCGAACATACAGAACAACGAGACTTTTAACAGTTAATAACTTTTCTCAAAAAAAATTTTTTACCACTTCCAGTGCTTCAAATTCAATTATGTTTGCGTAGAACTGTTCAGAACCGCTAAATTTTAATAAAAAGAGAAAAAAAAGTGATTTTTTTCCATTTTTGGATGTTCCATACCCCTTAATGGAAATCAAACAAAATTACTTTGTTTCGGTCCTTCCTTTCTAGTACTAGTTATGATGTATGTGTTTAAAATACTTTCCACATATTTTATTATTTTTCATACACCTTTCAAATTTCATTACATCGTACCAAATCCATTTTTACTGCTATCATAACAAGGTGAATGATGTATCCGCGAGGTTCTTTGGATGAAAATGAGTCGAAATAACCTCATTCGGAGTACTTCCGTTTTAATATTATTTTTCTAACTTTTGAGAAACCGAATAATTAAAAGTAATCCGAAGAAGGTCACGTTTGGACTCATTTTCATCGGAATATATTAATAATATAGTTATAATTATATAAAAAAATATAAAAATTATAATTTTCATTAGCCAATGACGTTCATCTCGATTATTTGCCTTATGATTACGAATCAACTAAACGGTATGATTGCAATATTTCAGCGGCAAAATTAGGCGAAGTCTGTTACGAGCACGCCCATTGCAGACTCTGGCAGAAGAATTCTCATTGCGACTTTTTGATTCCTGATTTGTTTGGTCGGTGTCAGTGCACCGCGCCGATGCGCCGCGAGAACGACATCTGCCGTTTGGATGATCTCGTTAGACCTCCGCCCCTCTTCGATCCGAATATGGATGTCTCGAGTTCGACGGAAACGGCATCGGTAATGGACGAAATTGACGAAATCGATGACGACGACGATCATGTGTCAACACCTGAGGATCAACAAGAGGATACAGGTAAAAATTTAGGATAGATATTAAACTGCAGCTTCTAAAAAATATTCAGGATGTGTTTTAAAATGTAAACTCCGCTTCAGTGGTTGATCGAGAATATAAAGCATGGTGCATGGCGTGTAACGGTTAATAGGTGTCTGAATCATAAAAATATACAGGGTGTTCCAAAACTCACGTAGGAGCCGGAAATGGGAGGTAGCTGAGACGATTCTGAACAATAATTTCCTTTGCAAAAATATCGGATGAGGCTTTGTTTTTGAGTTATTAACGAGAAACACCGACCAATCACAGAGCCGGATTAGCGCGCGATTAGCCGCGAGAGCATAAGCTCGAGCCAGGACTGGCTGGTTGCGCCAGGTCGCTGCATAACCAGCTGAGCGCGTGCTAATCGAGCGCTGCGATTGGTCGGTGTTTTTCGTTAATAATTCAAAAATGAAGCCCCCACCGACATTTTTGCAAAAGAAATTGTTGTTCAGAATCGTCTCAGCTACCCCCATTTCCGGCTCCTACGCGAGTTTTGGGACACTCTGTAGATAGAGTAGGAGAAACATAGGCCAGCCTGTAAGTGGAAATGTCCCACCGATAAAAAGAGAAGAAAAACTCGGTTTTCCATCTATCTTTGTGCTTTTATTAATGTGAATGTAAACTACATATGGAATTATTAAAAATATAAACGATAACCCTTTATCATTTATAGAAAAATGATATAAAAATACGCTGATAGACACAGACGGGTAGTATACCGCGGTTTTCTTTCTTTTTTTAGCTGTAGTACGGTTAGAGGTATTGCTCCCTTACTTTTCCATATCTCCATGGTCTGAACCTCTAAAAAAAGTCGAAGGGTAAAGAGAAATATGGCTTGGTCAATAACGTGAACTACTCTGTTGGTAAAAGTCGGTAATATAGAAACTTAAGATATTGTAGGATCTATCTACATTATCGATCTTGTGTTGTATATTACAGATAACTGCGTTATAGATGTTTTGTTTCTGCTGAATAATACTCAACGAATTTTTGGTTCCAATACTCATGCATTCTCACTTCTAGTCTAGTACAAACATGGCTACAATTTGGCAATAACATCAAATAGAGCATATGTTTATATGCAGTTTCTTCACTGTTCTTGTGTCCATCAAAAATATTCCTTTAGTTAGGTGGAAAAAGGAAGATGAAATTTGAGAAATACTGATGTAGGGTATACAGTTGGCTTATTCAACACATACTATTTGCACATAATTAAAAACATTTGCTACATTAAACAGAATTACTGCACATGTAGCTAGAAGTGAGAATGTATGAATATAGGAACCAAAAACTCGTTGAGTATTATTCAACAGAAGCAAAACATCTATAACGCAGTTATCGCTAATATACAACACAGAATCGATAATGTATATAGATCCTACAATCTCCTAGGTTTCTATATTACAGACTTTTACCAACAGAGTAGTTCACGTTATCGACCAAGTCATATTTCTCTTTACTCTTCGTCTTTTAATGGTCGATTTACCACCTTAACAGTACCACATCGTAGCAAATATGTTGATTATATAGAGTGAAAACCTTTAAATTCAGCCGTTACTCGGTTATAGCCCATAGTTTAAAAACCATTAATAATATTGTTTCTGTACTTGTGAAGATCATAGTGTGAAATAAAAGAAAATTGCGAGAGAACGAAAATTAGCTACGATTCGATCTATTAGGTCCTTAACTAAATTATGTGGATATTTTTAATTTACGTTTTCTACCAAAATAATGCTACTACAATTTTTTGTTTAAATTGAAGTAATTACCGCCAATTTTGTGGTGGCTTTGATTTGAACTATGAGTCGACGCAATCTTTCACTCCTCCGAATTTTCAAAATGTTTGTCCTCTGAAACAAATGATATGCCCTAGCATTATCATGCTACAAATTCACTTTCAGTTTCGCCGTTTCAACGGGGGGTCGCAGTTCTTTTTTTTTATCTACGCTTAATTTCAATAACTACTGGCAGCAACGATCAACATTGATTGTTTGGCCAAATAAAAATTTATAAAACACGGCTTTCTCGTTCCACCGTACACACAAGAGAGCATTTTGCCTATGAATTTTGGCAGACCTGATACCTTTGCAGGCGTTGAAATTTCTTGGTTGAAAAATGACACGATTCCCGCGACGACGCTCGCTCCACCTATCCTGATTCCAGTAAACCTGGTCACCGGGCCCGGCATGGACGACTCAACGAGTAATCCATCCATACCGATCGAGAACGCTGACGATGACGATTCTATCGTTGTCGACGCAATTACGGACTTCCCAATACCGCTGAGCACGGTTTCCGATTCCACATTAGGTAAATATACAAAAATGCACGAGTTTATTTGTCAATAATAATTGTAGACCAGACGCAAGTTATATCAGAGAGCAATATATGTTGGTATTGTGGTCCATCACCCTTACTAAGGGGTCTAAATTTACGTAAAAAAACATAATTATGAAATTTGTATGTTCTTATAATCGAGATAGAATTTAGAAATAATAAGTAATATTTTCAGTAGGAGAAACTCACTTAACCTCCCATAATTCCTATTACATCTAGTTTTTGAAAATAAAATTATACGATAGACCTTTTATAAATTCGAGCGTACAATTGATCGGTTATTTACCGGTAAAGTATTTAGTTGATTAACCGGTAAAACATATTTGTACGAGGCAATTAACCAAATAATTCATTACAGACGATAAAATTGTTAAAATATTTTATTTAAATCAAATTAATTTTTAAAATAATTCAATTAGAAGTGGTGTATTACAAAATACTATTTAAAATTTATATAACTCATGTCATGCTTCTGACTACAGTAGTTCATTATGAAACCACTAAATAGTATTAAAAAATCTTATGGCTAATCGTCCGATAATTTACCAGCTGGTAAGTTGGTAAAATAAGTAAAATGTATATTTTATTGGTAAAATCACTATTTATAAATACCGACGATATTCGTCCTAGCGTGAAAGATTGTAACTAGTAACTATTTTAAACAGGTTGTTCGTTGGCCATGCTATTACCTTAACCCTTTCGACTCTGCAGTTTTCTATTTGAATTCTGTTCGTTTCAGAAATTAGAAATTAAAATTAATTCTAGTTAAATAGAGTTAGCTATAAATCAAAGGCCATGATCAGATAAGAAGGATCAATGATCTCCAGCACATATGATGTTCATTATTTTTAACATATGTTCCTATGACTCTTAGCTTTCCCGCAGACTGCAGACTTTCTGCCGGCCGATAACTAACCGCCGAGTCGGCAAGAAAACAATCGGTAAGTGTGCGCGCGGCTACAAGCCGCCATACTGATTAACAGTCGACCGATAGTTTGCCAATAGGTTTATTGGTTTGAATGCAATCATGTAGCCCATCAAACTTATTTATCGGCCGATACCGAATCGTTGTAGTGTGCGCACTTGCATATATCTTCATGCTGATTAAGAATCCGATCAAACTATCGGCCGATAGAAAGTCTGCAGTCTGCGGTTGGCCAATGGCAACTAGATGTGTTCACTGGATCATATACATATACAGGGTGTCTCAGACATAGTGATACAGCGCTCTAACTCCAAAACTATCGGTCGAATGCAAAATTTCAAATATGCAAATTTCATGGTATAGTGAGGCTCATGTTTCAGCGAGAAGGAATTTTTGTTAAGTTTGTTATTTAACGAGATATAATGGTCAAGTTTCGTTTTTCAAATAGAACTATATATTCTTTTTTCTACCATACGATAGTACTTTTCAAGACGAATTCATTAAGCTTTAATGTATTTACCCGATTTTTATTAGTTTTCAAGCTATAACGTTTCAAAGTTTGCTAATTTTCAAGGAAAAATCTTGGTTCGGTCCCGGGCGGTCCCATTGATGCGGTAAACACCATAGGGTTCTTGAAATCGATACGGAGGGTCTCGCTTGGGATTCCAGGCCCAAGAAACGAAAACAGGAAAAGTATTACCTACCTAGAAAATTCTCGGCGCTACAAGTAATGCATCAGTAGCGGTCAATACTTTTTCCGTTTTCCGTTAACCTTCCGTTTCCTACTTTGGCGGATGCGACTCCAAGGCCTGACTTTGCAATTTCGGCCTTAAAACTTTATAAACAATAAAATGAAGATAGCAAACGTACTTTTATTGTTTATAAAGTGTTTATAAAGTTTTAAGGCCGGAATTGCAAAAGTGTAACGAATATATTAAAACTAGAATTATTAGAAAATATTGCTTCTTTGCTTCAATATCTTCGAGAAAAATCATGCTAGCCTAATCGCCCTGTCCTCGTCTCTCCTGCAATTTTTGTATCGCCCTCTCTGTCCTTGTCCCGGAGTTTCCTACTTTTTCCGCAACTGTCGCTGAAGTCAACTCGGCGTTTGGCTCTGGCTCCTGCGCACCTTTAAAACCACAATTGGCCCTCGAGATGCTAAAATATTGCTACAGTGTTTGAACCAACTGTTTCGAAATATTCCACTGATACGAATTGAATAATCGTATGGTGGAATTTACAGGTCCTTTAAAAACAGATCGACACGAGCCAAACGCGGCAGTGGCCGTCAGCTTGGGACTCGACTGCGCCTCTGATCTAGAATGCAGAATGGCGGATCCGTACTCCAGGTGCATAGATGGTATCTGCGACTGTGGCTTTCAAGGAAACGCTAGTTGCAGCGCGCGACGCAGAGGGTGCGCTGCCGGTACCTTTCAGTGCAAAAACTCCGGAGTCTGCATCAGCTGGTTCTTCGTCTGCGACGGCCGAGCAGATTGCACCGACGGATCTGACGAAAGGTGCACCGAGCTTGATCCAGAATGCCCAAAGGAGGCGTTCCGTTGCGAGAAGAGCAGAATATGCGTGTCGAGGGCGGCGCTGTGCGACGGAAGTCGCGATTGTCCTCATGGCGAGGATGAGATAGGCTGCAATAACAGGCGGAGTAAGTTCTTGTGCTAGTAATAAACTCGAAATCAGAGTTGTATAGAATTTCAATTGACAATTGAAATTGAAGTGGATTACTCCATGGATTATGATTTCAAAGTAATTCGATTACATTGTAATTTGTCATTAGGAAATCTCATTCAAATTAAATTACAATGTAATTGTGACAAACTTATAAATTACGAGGTAATCAAACTGAGAGATAATAAAAGGTAGACAAAAATAATAGCGTGTAATCCCGCGCAATAAAAATGAGACTTTTTATCCAAATTTATCCTATACATATATGGGTGGTCCCATTCAACTTTCCACTCAGTATACAGGGTATTTCTTAATATGTGGGCGCTTTTTAGAGTGTAAGGGTCTGACACTAGTATGAATCGAAAAGTCTTTTAACAATTTACAAACTGAGATGTAAGCAGTTGAAATTTATAGGTGTAACTTCCGGCGCGGATAATTTGAATTCCTGTTAGCTGTTTGCGCGACATGCACACACGTAACAGGACTTCACCCTTCAAAAAGTGCCCACATATTAAAAAACACTGTATAGTGCATGTATGTATTTATGTCGTACACTTTTTCGAAGGCATACAATTTTAGTATCAGGAGAATCCTCATACACACATTCTACTTTCTATGTATGGAGGTGACCTTCAAATGTCCCAAGTTTATTTATTCAAAAATTGTTCAATTAACGCGTTTAAAAAAACGGTTAAACTGCCGTAATAATAATTATTTCGTTTGATTTACCAGAGTGTCCTGAAGGTGCGTTTAGATGCAACAACGGTCAGTGTCTACCAGCGTACGAATTTTGTAACGCAGTTGTGTCCTGTCGAGACGGAAGCGACGAACCGAGGGGCGCGTGTCGGACACGAAATCGAGGAAGAATTTCTGCGCGGCAGTGTCCGTTTAGGTGCGACAACGGCAGATGTCGCTCGGACGCTATTGCTTGCAGTGGTCGCGATGGCTGTGGGGATGGTTCCGACGAGAAGCACTGTTCTGTCTGCAGTCAGTATCCATCACAGTCCTCTTTCTCTTTATTTGCTTTCTAGGGGTTTCTGCTTTGTTGAATCAGAAAATAAGTAATATTTGGAATATTTGGTGTCCTACAGCATTAGGCACAAAGAGTTTTTACGTAAAACTAATTCATATAAATATTATATAGTAAAGTACTTTGCTTTGTTTTTTTTTTCGTTGAGTCATTTATGATAAATATGAATTTTTGTAATTGGAAAACAGAAATTGTCTAATTCATAAACTGTTGTTTGTGGATATATAGAAAAAAGCAAGGGTACTTGGTGTTGAAAAAGATGGCGCCGATGGATATCCGAAACACAAAATTTAAGAAGATTCTTATTCTATTAGGTTGTCCCAAAAGTTTCCTTGGCAACTTACACTCAATTGTTTTGTACGGCAGTATTCACCTAAATAGATAACCTTATCTCTTAGAAGTTGATGTTATGACAGTAGTAGACTAAAATGGAGCGTACAATTTAGGACAACCTAGAATATAAGTGTGTCTATGGATGGTACTAATATTAAAAAAGATTTTAAAAAATATACAAACTTTTTTTAAATATGGCCTATATGAGATAAATGGCTGAACTTTACTTCGGGGCAGTAAAAGTTAATGACCTTTTCTTGTACCATTTAGTAGCTTTTGATGCTTAGATCACAAAAATAAATGTTTTAGTGTTAGGAATCCAACGGTTCAGAAGTTATAAAAAGTGGGCATTTTACCGTATTTGACTGACACTTTCGCCGCCATATTGCCTTGTAGCCATACCCTGTCGGTAATACAGATTCTCTTTAGTGGCGAACTACATTATGCACTATTTTTATTAATCGACTTCGAAAAGGAGAAGGTTACTCAATTCGACATGTATATATATATATATTTTTCTTATGTATGTTACTCGATTACGCCGAGACGACTTGACCAATCGGGATGAAACCTGTTGCATCTTGTAGAGAATGTCTCCGCGGTGGTTCCATTATTAAAAAATTTGGGGATCTTTCATTTTTTACCCGTTTTTTTTTGGCAAAAAACCAAAAAATTTTGTATTGCTTCTTATTCCGAAACGAATTGACCAATCGGATTGAATCTTCTTGCATGTGATAGGGTCTCGTTGCCTCTTAAAGCTTAGAAAGACATTTGATTTACTTCAATTTTTTACCACTTTATTGCAGTTTTTATCGCAAAATTGTACTATTTCACGTATGTTCGGCCCGAATTCGATGAAATCGATGAAACCCTTTACAATTTGCTGCCGGACTCGTTTTCGAGTTGATCACTTTGCAAAAATGATTTTTCTTATTGTTTATAACTATTGTTATTCCAAAATTCCTAGTTTTTTCTTATTGTTTGTAACTATTGTTATATTTTTATACTTATTTTTGAAAACTCGTATATTTCGAATGAACAGAGTTGGTAGCTTTTGATGCTTAGATCACAAAAATGAAAGTTTTAATGTTAGGAATCCAACGGTTCAGAAGTTATGAACAGTAAAAAATGGGCATTTTACCGTATTTGACTGACTTTCGCCGCCATATTGCCTTGTAGCCATACCCTGTCGGTAATACAGATTCTCTTTGGTGGCGGACTACATTATCTACTACTTTTATATTGTTATGCCTATTTTTGAAAACTACCATATTTCGAATGAACAGAGTTGATTCTGTCTACATTTTTGGGAGGATAGAGAGTTTAACTTTTAAATTGCCTGACAAATATGGTAAAAGTGTTCAACTTTACATGCATAACATGTATAACTTTTAAACCGTTAGATTCCTAACATTAAAACTCAGATTTATGAATTCTAAGCATCAAAAACTACTAAATGGTAAAAAAGAGTCAATAATTTTTGGTGCCTCGAAATAAAGTTTAACCAGAGAAATTATTACATTCAGCCTAAAATTTGAAGAACCGTGTTGTTGTAAACAAAACCGATAACAAATACGCTAATAATTCTAGTACTGTCCAATGATATACGTTTTTAGAACATGTTCACAAAATTTGGTAAAGATATAATTAAAATAAACCTCCCTCTAAATAACCTCGAAAATTAATAACTAACAAAATTCAGACGTATTTTATATGTTATTCTTAACAAGTTTGCTCTGCATAATTGTTATAGTAAAACTGATAGTTTTTGAGATAAAAATTTATAGAAATTTGGGAAGTTTATTCACAAAAATTAGGATGCAATTGCATTTCCAATACTTGATGGAAAAGAAAATAACTAGATACAACTTATAATTCGCCAAGTGAAACATACGTCTAGTAAGTTTCGTGCTGCTGAATAAAAATTTTTTATTCAATTTTCAATCAGTATTTACACTTCCTTCAATAGATTGTTTCGAAAATTTCTGAAATTGGTTTTTGAGCACACTTAAACTTATTTTTTTCGAAATCCTGTTGTGTTAGCACAACCTATGATAATCTATTAAAATCTACTAAATAATATAATATGGTTATAATAATATAATATAATAATATAATAATATAATAATATAATATGGTAATAATAATAATATAATAATATAATATGGTAATGTACTAAAATCTACTACTAGAATCTACTAAAAAATCGTCTCTTCCTCTCTTTATAACGCACCTCACGAAAGAAAGCTCACATCCGACACCAATGTTTCTAATCTCGTTGCAAACGACAATGGAGCCAGATAGAGCGTCCATTTTTATTTCTGGCGAACGTTGAACGGCATCTGTCTTCCGTTTCAGAATGTTCGGCGTTTCCTTAACCCACACTGGGAATGACTATCGGAAAAAGGAATCGTCCCGCCGACGCGTTTATTCGTGCTCGTCCACAGAGTCCGGAACGGAGGATTCGGAAACAATGGGACGTCGACAGCTGCACCACCTTGAACAGTGCATCAACCAAAGACGCTTCGAGGACAAGGATCAACGTCGAGATGGATTTGTCTCGGAAGCAGCCAACGATTTGCTCGCTACCGTTGCGTTCTCTTCTCCGTTGTTCCCATCGATGCATTTTTACAATAAAAACCTTTAAACTGACCCAAACAGTCCTGACCCTTTTTCTGCTAAAAAACTTCAAAATTTATAAACGACGATTCCTCTTTAAACTGGAAAACCACATTAGAAGGCCAAATATTAAGAGTTTTTACGGATTTTTTTTCACATAGAAAAATTTTCTTCATTTTTGTTCAACTTTCGGTATATTTTAGGTATGTTTTAAAGTACATTGTGTAATTGTTGCAATTCATTTCATACAGAAACCTTTGAGATATCAGGCGTTCTCTATAGCAAGGTGGAAATTCTGGACATCACAATTTTTATTCGAAATCAATTCTTTTTATTATTAACGTGTTTTTAAAGAATATGACTATACTGTGACAAAAGAAGTAAAAAATTGGATTTTTAAGAGTGCTCAAAGAAAAAGTATTAATTTTCACAGGATTTTTTGTGCAGCTTCTTGCAGTGCAAAACCATATTTTAAACAATACTTCATTTTTTTTAGTTCATATTCAAGACATTAAAATAAAGTAAACGTATATAAAGTTGGAAAACAATCAGATTAATTTCCAATTAGTTTTCGAGTTATTATTCCCACGGATTGCAAAATGTCGTCTAAAAAAATACGCGATATTTAAAAATTTCTGTATGAAATGAATTAAAAAACTAATCAAATGTATTTTAAAACAAACCTAAAATATTATCAAAGTTAAAAGAACATTACAATAATATTTCTCTATAAAAAAAATATCCCAAGAAGCACTGAACACTTCGACTCCTAATGTGGTTTCCTCGCTTAAATAAAAAATGAATGCAATTTGACGATCGTGAAATTCAATGAATGAAAATGTAGTAACTAATAGAGATAAGTAGACAGTGTTGACACAAAGAAGATAAACTGAATAAAGTAAATGTTTTCATAAAAAGAAAAAGTTTCTGTGCTTTATAGAATTTTTTAAGTAATAGAGTGATGAAATATTAGGTGGACTGGAAAATAATGTCGTTTCTTTTACATTAAATTCAAACAAATTTTTTATAAATTTCTATTTTTAATTATTAATTGTATAATCGCTCCCGTTATCAATAGCCTTTTGCCATCTAATGTGCAAATTGTCAATGCCAAATCGATAAAAACCAATAAGCTGATGAACGATAAACAAGTATTTAAAATTGCAAAAACGACATTATTTTTCGGTTCACCTAATATTTATTAGTTGGCAATCTGGTTCGAGAGGAAAATGGATGAGAATGTTATGTGATGAATACGAATTACAGAAATATTCACGACTTACAGAAATTATACTTAACAAGAAGGGAACCATTTAATTTAATTGAATATCTTCAATTTTTATGTATATATTTCTAAGTTAACAATTTTTATTTAATTAAAATGGCTTTCCTTTATCGTTAATTTATACTTTATGTATGACGTTCGCTGAAGCAATGCAGAAAAATAAATATCAAGCAAACTAGAACTCGCAAGGGTCTTTCCGTGATTTATTTAATACCATTCATTAATGAAGTATGCAGTTTGTTATATGGAACTGAATTAGTAAAGACTGGTTACGTACTAGGAGCATACAAGTTTCGTCGTGTTCAGCTCAATCAACTGACCTGAATCCCGTCCAACATGTATTGAATGAAGTAGGAAATTGTGTTACTAACTCAATACTTAGCAACGAAAACCAGTTGTTACGCTCATAAAAGATGAATGGACAAAAATTCCGGATCAATACGTTAACCGTCTTAAGGGGGATAACCAGGGTGCTTAGTACGAAAATAAGATCATGCCTGCTGTTGTGTACGCGTTTTTCACTTCAGTCAATTTAAGATAGTTAAACTCCCCACGTCGATGTTAATTGGTATTAAGTAGACTATAAATATATGAGAAGTAAAGGAGTAAATCAAAATTGTCTTTATTCTATTTGGGTTGAAATCTGTCGCAACGATACTTTTATGTTTAAATTCGCTTGATGTGCACACTGTACCTCTTCGCTTATGACTGAAAACTGATCCCTTCTACCAATCGCGTCCTTTTTTTTAAAATATATTAATATGTGACAGCATGCAGAACAATTAAAAGATTTTCGTAATTTCCGGTGTTGAAAATTTTCAATTTAGCACCGCTCTCCGAAAGTATTGTATCGTATTTAACATGGTATTTGATATTTTATTTTAACCAATTACATTAATATAATAGTTACTGTCTATTCGCATAAATTAAATGAAAATTATTTCATGCTTCCTAGCGCATTTTTTTAGTGCGTTTCGAAGTCGGTTTACTTTTTTTATACAATATTCCTTGCAGAGCAACACTAAATAATAGATATTTTACAATAACAGTAGTTACTAGGAATGAAGAATAACAATGAATTTTTGCAAATGGATTCATCGCGACAATATCTTGCACCAAATATGAAAAGTTGCATCGGGAAACGATTCGTCGTTCGCAGATTTCAAAAATTGAACATCGGTTTTTTCCTTCTAAATTTGTTAAAAATGTAGCTTTTTAGATGATTTTTATTTTAAAATACTCCTTAGAAAATAACAAACAAATAAGCGTATAGATTATGCGATGCGATTCAACGTTTTTTATAAATTTGTTTGTCAAAATTGCAAAAATAATTTGTTTAAACATATTTGTTTGGACCATCTAATTCAGCGTAAAAAAAACTACGTAAAAAGTTCGACATTTTCTTTTAATACCTACTGGTAAGTTTATGTGACGGCACCTTCCGTTATGTAGCACGAAGGCTGACTATAAGCGTCTGACCAAACACGACCTGTAACTCCTTCAAAGGTTGATCTTTCGTTCTCCACTTCACGCCTTTCTCCAGAAGCTACGTTAATGTACAGCCAGTACATGATTATACATGATTATACATCCATAAAGATTATACATGAATATTTAATAAAATAGCAGAAGGTTTATAAGAATTTTTCAAATTAAAGTTTTAAACCTATTTGAATTTGGCTTTTGGAACATAAAGCGGAAATGATGTTTAGGATATTTACCTGAATACATATTTTTTATTTATGATAAGAAAGATAAATCTGTTTCATAATTTGACACGTACATATGTCTAGTGATATAATTTCATGAAAAATTTTAACTAAACAATAACTTTCGATTCCGTTTTACAAAAATCAGAAGGATTAAAAATTGATATCTTTTCTGAGTATCAGTCATAGAGAGTATCGTGCAAAATTTTTCCGATCAGATAGATTTTCACCTTATATTTTAGAAGTTATATTTAAATTAATGTTAACTAGTGTTAGATATAAGAGTATGATAAATGAAAAATAACAGTGCAAAAGATAAACTATGTTTATTATCTCGTAACGACGTATTTAAAAAATTGTTAAACCAGCGATTTCAGAAGTTTCCAGATACTTCGTCTTACATAAGCAATTTGCATTGTATCTTCCAATATAAAGAACTAATTGTGTATTTTACTGTTAACTATTAATGATATTGTTGCGACAGTATGAAGATGCCGCACTACAGTACCGAGTTACATCGTCGCCACGGTGTGAAAATGTTGCGACGATGTGAAGTTGCGGAAACGAGTTCCCGCGCTTCCGGTTACCAGGAAGCGGCAAACTTTTAAAATAGAAGAGTGCGATTCGAGATCTCAAGGAGAGAAGATGTATAGCTACAAGTCTCTAAGTTTATCGTTGAATTATTGTTAAAGCGTTAAAAGTTAAGGTTTGTTAATAAACGTTATATATAGTTTAACATGGATTCTCGTGTTTCAACCCACCGGCGTAACAATATTATATAACCATGTCTTCTACACTGATAATACACTAGCGGACAAGCAAACCGGAACGATTTTTCAAATGCTCATAACTATGAGAGTTTTCAGCCGATTTTCGTGAAACTTCGTCAGGAGTAGTTTCGAAGTGTCCTCTGGGTGTGTGCAAAGTTGCATTGGCAAGGGTTGATGTGAAGATGTTAATTCACCCCCCTAACGGGGAGGGTGTAAAAAAACGCCTCTTTAAAACAGACCAGGGATGACGAAAAGGGTTGAAAAATTCAAAAAAACCTTTAGAACGACTCTCCTTGATGCCCTCTACAAAATGCACCCCTTGAAATCCCTCTCGGACAAACCCATCCTCCAAAACCTCCCACCCCCTCTAAAATCCACAATTTTTGGACGACGGTCTCGATTTCGGACTCAATGCATTCTCTGGACTCCCCTGATCCAGAAAATGCTATCA